ATAGAGTCTTCTATATACTCTCACTGCTATATATGTCGGAACGGGCCGGATCGGACGACTATATCATATAGCTCCCATACAAATGTTCGATAAATTTGTAGAAAAAAATTATAACTTGGCTGTTTTTCAATGAATCATTTTTGAGACATAGCCATTTTATATTATTTCAGAATTTTGTTAAAAATTTTATGAAAATCGGACGACTATATCTTATAGCTGCCATAGGAACGATCGGAAAATGAATAGGAAAAAAATTATAACTTCGTTGTTTTTCAACATATTCTTATTTACTTTCAGATATAAGCTTCTTTTATTATTTCAGAATTTTGGTAAAAATTTTATGAAAATCGGACAACTATATCATATAGCTGTCATATAAACGATCTGTAAATGTGGAGAAAATGTAAAGCTGGGAATGTAAAACTGTAACTGTCAAACTGTAAACATAATAAGTATAGGTAAAATGTAATGAAACTCTGTTTTGTGAGTGTTTTCAGCATTTAAATTTATAATATAAACATCAAAACCAATCTGCAAGGGTATACAAACTTCGGTGTGCCGAAGTTAGCTTCCTTTCTTGTTTCCACTGTATTTACTTGCAATTCTGAGATTGAATTTTTCCACCATCTACCATCCGAATTCTACGGCATATTCTTGCAATCCATATTTGTTTCGATTTTACCGTCTCACATTGCTACTCCTTCGATTTAGTTGACGGTACTGGAAGCAAATAATTCTACCATTCGAATTCTACAGCATATTCTTGCGAACATACTTTCTTTTGAGAATTCTGCTCAATCCAACAGCTTCATTCACCTAATTAGTTGGTCACTCCTGCCTACTCCCAAAGGAATATAAATATGTCAGAAGGACAAAAGTCAATTCCCCAAGACGCAAGTCAGAAGAGGGAGATATCCAAAGCCAACGGCCCTCTAGATGTTGCTATGCTTGAGTTTATAGCAACTAGCAACCGTCTGATCCAATTTGAGAGCCAGATCTTTGCGGCATCCACTTCCAAGCCCAATTCATTCACATTAAAGATCCGTCTAGATCAGATCCAGTCCTTATGGGAAAAGGTTGAACGGGAGTATGAGACCGTTTCCAGAGCAGCTCTTCACGAGGGACGTAGCGGAAATCTTCTGCTACTTCAAAATAAATACGAACACTATTATGCGGTGTACGAAAGATGTGCTTCCAAGCTGAGCGAAGACATTGACCGTGTGTCCGTCTCCAATTCACAGGCAAGAGCAGCTCCGCCACCAGAGACATTCTCGAGGGGCTGCGATCTTCCGCCATGCAATACAGGAATCTTCGACGGAGATTATCTGCGCTGGCCCACATTTCGTGATCTGTTTACGGCCATGTACGTGAACAATTCCAACTTAACTCCAGTGGAAAAGCTTTTCCACTTAAACGCCAAAACTGGCGGCGAAGCTCACGCCATCGTTACGAAGTCTCCGCTAACTAATGATGGGTTTCAATCCGCGTGGTCAGCGCTTCACGATCGTTTCGAAAATAAACGCGCGTTAGTAAACAATTCACTTAAGAAATTATTTAACATGGAGTCCAGTGAACGCGAATCCCCGGCAGCCTTGAAGGATCTGCAAAATACAATCCAAAATTTTCTAACATCGCTGAGAATTTCCGGCCTTTCTACCGAGAATTGGGATTGCCTCCTTAGTAGTAGGGGAATCTAACATCCAGGCCAGTTTTATCTTAATTGCTAATTAGGGTCATTAATTAAATAGATAGGGGTGATCTGACCCCTGTCACCTTAAAAGGGTAGGGTAATAAAAATTGATTAGGGTGTGATTGAATGGATTGAGGACACGTGAGAAACGTGTGCGGAAGCGCCCCGAAGACGCACTCGATACGTGAGCGAGGGAGCGATAACGCACACGATACGTCTTCGAGTGCGTATGCGAGGGAGCGATAACGTTCGATCCGCGCGGGAGCGGGAGCGTTAGCGCCCCGAAGACGCACTCGAAACGGCTTCGAGAGGGAGCGATAACGTTCGATCCGCGCGGGAGCGGGAACGTTACCGCCCCGAAGGCGCACTCGAAACGGCTCGAAACGAGGGAGCGATAGCGTTCGACCCGCACGCATTCGTTTCCCACAATCAAATCCCACACCAAAAGGGGATGGAGGGTGAAAAGGTCAGTGCGATCCTTAAAGGGATGAAGATGACAGCAAAAGCCGCTGTACACCTGCAAACGCACAATGCAATGAAGAGGGAGGGATGAAAAGGTCAGCCGAGATTTTTGGCTGTGATAAATATGGAGTCAAAAGGTTACAGCTCATTTATCAATGGGTGGGTGAATGGGGAGAAAAGGGTACCATTGACCGAGATTTTCGGTGTTGATAAAAAAGGATCACTTTCCCTTTCAACAAAGGACACATGCCAACGAATGCTTACTAAAAAGGAATTGAGGGATCGTCTAGCAAAAAAGGTAAGCGATCTCACACATTTACAGCACCTTCTTTTTTTTTTATAATGAAAAACAAAAACAAATCTTGAAAGAGCATGAGTATATTTTGTCCTATCATCGACCCTACTCTTATATAATGGTGTGGGGTATGAGTACAAACGATCAACTAAATGACAACTACCCAAGATAAAATAGCCGGGTTCCTTTCCATTACGTTAAAAGCAAAACTAACAAAAAATAAAAAAATTTTGCATCTTATGCGAATGATTTCGGGTCTACGAGGAAAATCCTAGATCCTAAGGATTCACTTACAGTTTGTGCCCCGAACAATTTGTACACGCCGGTGTTTACATTCAAAAAATTATAAAACAAAATTTTTCGTTTAAAAAGTGAATAAGTGTATGTAAAATTGGTTTCAACAAAAAACCAAAAATTCAAAAAGTGAAATTTGTTTACATAAAAACAAACATTGACAAAAATGTAAAACATTAAAAACAAAATACAAAAAATTTATTAACATTATCAACAACAAAAGCAAAAAGTTAAAAAAAAATAAAAACAATAACAAAAAACCAAAAATTCAAAAAGTGAAATTTGTTTACATAAAAACAAACATTGACAAAAATATAAAACATTAAAAACAAAATACAAAAAATTTATTAACATTATCAACAACAAAAGCAAAAAGTTAAAAAAATTAAAAACAAAAGAAAAAACAATAACAAAAAACATTCAAAAAAAAAATATATATATATATATATATATATACATATATATAGTCAACGTGAACAACAAAAACATTATCATCAACAAAGTGCATATCATCACCATAAACACCTATATTGCCTTCAACGAAATCAACAAAAACATCATCATGAACAACTACAACAATTACAACAACTACAACCAGTTCAGCAACTACAACAATATGAATGGCATTTACTGCCAATCCTGCCAGATGGTTCTGGCTGTGGGTGTGCAATGGCATCATCATGTCCGCACAGAATCCCACAAGTTTTATGCAACGCGACCTGTAGATGGGAGCGTTAAACAAATTTTGGATGGATTCAAGGGTCGAATCCTTCAATACATGTATGTTAATGAGGGAGTTCCTGTTAGAAATCCCAGCGAATTTTTAAATGAGGCGAGTCTAGCGCTGATCCCTCATATTGAGAGAGTGTTAACCTCTCACATTTCATCGAAAATAAATTTCGAGTTGTTTGCTGAGTATATGCTTGTAAAGGAGCATGTAACTCAAGTGGAGATAAAGTCATTCCAAAGTAAAATGACAATGGTTTCATCAGCCTCCAATTTGATGATGCTGTTCAATTTCCACAAAGATGAAATTGAAACAAAAACAAGAAAGCTAACTTCGGCACGCCGAAGTTTGTATACCCTTGCAGATATTATTTCATTACATTTTACCTATATTATTAAGTTTACAGTTTGAAAGTTACAGTTTTGCATTCCCAACTTTACATTTTCTCTACATCTACCGATCGTTTCTATGGCAGCTATATGATATAGTTGTCCGATTTTTATGAAATTTATACCAAAATTCTAGAATAATAAACTAAGCTTATATCCCGGAGTAGATGAAAAAACGTTGAAAAACAACGAAGTTATAGTTTTTTTCCTATTAATTTCCCGATCGTTCCTATGGCAGCTATATCATATAGTCGTCCGATTTCAATAAAATTTTTACCAAAATTCTGTAATAATATAAAATGGCAATATCTAAAAAATGATGCAAAAATTTTGAAAAACAGCCAAGTTATAATTTTTTTTCTAAAAATTTATCGAACATTTGTATGGCAGCTATATGATATAGTCGTCCGATCCGGCCCGTTCCGACATATATAGCAGTGAGAGTATATAGAAGACTATATGCAAAGTTTCATTCAGATAGCTTTAAAACTGAGGGACTAGTTTGCGTAGAAACGGACAGACGGACAGACGGACATGGCTAGATCGACTCGGCTGTTGATGCTGATCAAGAATATATATACTTTATAGGGTCGGAAACGTCTCCTTCACTGCGTCGCAAACTTCTGACTGAAATTATAATACCCTGCAAGGGTATAATGAGTGTGTTTGGGAACGAGACACCCTGTATTGGGTTTCGCGCTCTTTGTTTTGATCGCCGCTGCCGGCGGCCTTATCAGCGGTCGCTAAGCGAGCAGCGCATCGCTGCACATGCGCGCGAGCTTTTGCCCAGTAATTTTCCATTCATTTCTAACTCCTAACTGTAACTTGTTTACGTCTTCGACTAGCATAATCGAATGACGTGCATAGCCAAAGCTTAGTCAGTCACATTTTTGCTGCAATGCAATGCAATCTAACGCAGCGCGGTCGACAATATTAAATGTAATTGTTCGGAAATAAATAAAATTATATTAAACAGTATACACTAGGGCGGATTCATTTATAAACATTCTAAAAACTGGTCCTTCGAGCCGGATTCGCCATTACTGTTTATTTTCGGCAAATTTATTTAATTATTGAGGTTTTCGTCAACGGTGATCTATAGATTTCAAAATCGTATAGAGTCGTTATCTTTTCGCGATCGCCATGCGGAGTGTGATTCAACAACGGGGCTTTTGTAAAAGCCAAATCACACGGGCGCATAATAATGCCCTAAAATTTGTGGATGACATTCAATCAGTGGACACAATTGTGGTGCGCCTGTCGCAAATCCAAGACAATTATTTGCGGTTTGTGCGACATTCGGAAGAGCTGTACGCCTTCCAATCGGAGTCGGATTGGGAGAATCCGGACGACGATTTTGATGCCTATGAGGAGAAACATTATGCTACACACGCCATTCTCAGCAACACTCTGGAGGAGTTACGGCGTGATCAGACGTCTAACAATATTTTGGCCACTGTGCAACCAGCAGATGCGCCCCAGAGGAGCCATGTGGATTTCCAGTTCGAGCGAATCAAACTCCCAACCTTTTCCGGGAATTATGAGGACTGGAAACATTTTTCGGATATGTTTACGGACTCGATTGCTTCCAATTCGAGCCTGACGGATTGTCAACGATTTCATTATCTCAAATCGTATCTATCCGGAGACGCCCTCAATTTAGTCAAACATATTCCTGTGACTAATGAGAACTATCGGGAGGCATGGGATCGGCTTGAGCAGCGATATAACAAACAATCGCTAATTATCCGATCATTCCTCAACAGTTTCATGACCCTTCCCAGTGCTACGTCTACTAATCTCAGCACAGTGCGGAAACTGGCCGATGGCGCAGACGAAGTTATTCGTGGTTTGCGAGCCCTTGACTGCGAAGAGAGGGATCCTTGGCTAATCTTCATCCTATTGTCAAAATTAGATACCGATACTTGCCAAGCTTGGGCGCAGTGCGCAGACTCCGAGGGAAAAGGTGTGACCATCAACCAATTCCTTAAATTTCTCACCTCTCGCTGCGATACTTTGGAGGCTTTTCACTTAGTTCGACCAACCCAAGCTCGACGCGCAGCCACAACGCACCACGCAGATACGCATCCTAGACGAGAAGAACCCAAATGCACATCGTGCCAGCAAACTCATCAACTGTTCAAGTGTCCTCAGTTCAACGGACTCGACATCGCAGCTCGCCGGGAGTTTCTCAAGACGAAAAAGCTATGTTTCAATTGCCTCAGCCCAAGTCACATGGCGGGTAACTGTACATCGAGACACACTTGTCGGATTTGTCGCCGCAAGCATCACACCCTGGTTCACCCTGGCTCGGCGCAGCCAACTCAAAACGGTAACTACTTGGAGAGAGCGGCGTCTACAATCGGCCAGAATCAACCGCCTGGTCAAGAGATTCATCAATCAGGGAGTTTACCTCCCGCGGAAAATAACTTCACGCATCATACGCTGGAGAATATTTCAGCTGCAGGTTCGCAGACTCTGTTGCCAACCATCCTTGCAGACGTCGTCGACGCCTGGGGAAATACTACAACCTGCAGGCTGCTCTTGGACACTGGGTCCACAATCACCTTGGCGTCGGAATCATTTGTTCAGCGAATAGGCGTACGTCGAACGCACGCCCGGATTTCTGTACTCGGTCTCGCAGCCAACAGCGCTGGCGTTACCCGAGGACGCGCACATATCAAGCTGCGCTCTCGTCATTCGGACCAAACTGTCGAACTGGTCTCGTTTATTCTCAATTCGCTGACATCATCACTCCCGGCCCAGGCTATTGACACCTCATCTTCTACGTGGAAGCAAATCTGCGAGCTTCCTTTGGCAGATCCCACATTCTGCACGCCAGGATCCATCGATGTCATCGTTGGATCAGATCAACTCTGGTCTCTTTATACTGGAGAACAGAAATGCTTTGGTAACGACGCTCCTATCGCTCTGAATACTGTTTTTGGTTGGATTATTGCAGGCTCTTACAATGCATGCGATGATTACCTGACTTCAGCGGTTACTCATCACGCGGACCTCGACACGATGGTTCGCTCTTTCATGGAGATGGATAATATACATCCTAGCCAGGCTCTTTTGGACGCCAACGATCCAACAGAGCGTCATTTTGCTGCCACCCACACGCGCTTGGAGAACGGGGCTTACGTCGTCGAGTACCCCTTCAAGGAGCATGCGCCGCCTGTTGATTCAACTTTACCGCAGGCCATCAATCGCTTCCACTCGCTGGAACGCAAGTTTCGTCGATCTCCAGACTTGAAGCAGCAGTATGAAGCATTTCTGGACGACTACTTGCGACGTGGTCATATGGAACAGCTGACATCGGCTCAAATGGATGAGTCCCCAGAAACCTGCTTCTATCTGCCGCACCACGCTGTCATCAAACTGGACAGTCTGACTACGAAATGTCGCGTAGTTTTCGATGGATCGGGAAAGGACAGCTCTGGAGTGTCTCTCAATGATCGACTTCAAATTGGCCCACCCATTCAACGCGATCTTCTCGGCGTTTGTTTACGTTTCCGGCAGCACCCATATGTTTTCTGCGCGGATATCGAGAAGATGTTCCGAGGAATTCAAGTCTTCAAGCCGCACACCAATTATCAGCGCATTGTTTGGCGCAAGAACGAGAATGAACCACTGCTTCATTTTCGCCTGTTGACGGTCACCTACGGATTGGCGCCGTCACCATTTCTGGCTGTTCGAGTTCTTAAGCAACTAGCTGAGGATCACCGCCACGAGTTCCCCGCAGCAGCCCACGCGCTTCTACACGACGCTTATGTAGATGATATCCCAACAGGGTGCAACTCATTCGACGAGCTCATGATTCTCAAAAACGAGCTGATTCAACTGTTGGATAAGGCGCAATTCAAACTACGGAAATGGAGTTCCAACAGTTGGCGTCTTCTAAAATCATTGCCAGAAGAGGACCGATGTTATGAGCCTATCCAGCTCCTCAACAAATCAGCTGCGGATTCACCAATCAAAATTCTTGGCATCCAATGGAATCCCGGAAAGGACGTCATGTACCTCAATATCAAGGAGTGCGATCCGACCATTTCTCCGACGAAAAGGGAACTCTTGTCGCAGCTATCAAGAATCTATGACCCGCTTGGATTGGTAGCGCCAGTCACAGTTCTATTCAAGCTTATCTTCCAAGAAAGCTGGACAAGTGTTCTGCAATGGGATGACCCGATTCCTGAAACTCTACGCTCGCGCTGGAAGGCCTTGGTGGAGGATTTGCCAACACGCAATGTCAAGTACCACGATACATTGCGTCACCATTCCAAGACGTTCAACTACACGGATTCGCCGACGCATCCGCGCAAGCCTACGGTGCGGTTGTATACGCTCGAGTAGCATATGGAGGCAGTTTTCAAATAACCCTAGTTGCTGCCAAAACCCGTGTAGCCCCGATCAAGCCTGTTTCGATCCCACGTTTGGAACTGAATGCTGCTCTACTTCTTTCTCGATTGCTCTCGATTGTCAAGGCCTCACTAACGATTCCTATTTTCAGCACGAGCTGCTGGACAGATTCAGAAATTGTGCTACACTGGCTTTCAGCTCCCCCACGAAACTGGAACACATACGTCTGCAACCGAACGGCTGAGATCTTGAACGACTTTCCTCGCAGCTGCTGGAATCATGTTCGCACAGAGGACAACCCTGCCGACTGTGCTTCTCGAGGACTTCATCCGTCCAAGCTTCTGGAGCATCGACTGTGGTGGAAGGGTCCATCATGGCTGGCCACACCGCCCTCTGATTGGCCACCGTCTACAAGCAAGTTCAGCGTATCTTCAAATCTCGATGTCAACACCGAAGAGAGAGCTGTCAAGCCCACAACTCTACATAACTTTCCTGATGAAAGTATCTACGAGTTACTCATCCACAAATTCTCAACCTGGACGCGTCTGCTAAGGGTATCTAGCTACTGTTATCGCTTTATTCACTCTCTTCGATCTCGTCATAGGAATCCGGCACCATTCCTTACATCCGAAGAGTTGCAGGCCGCACGATGCCGACTCATCCGACACGTGCAACAAAATTTCTTTGCCAGAGAATATGCGCAGCTAGAGAATCGACGCCCGCTTAATGCTAAATCGCATTTAATTCGGTTCTCCCCATTTCTGGACGATCATGGAATTATGCGAGTCGGTGGAAGAATCGACAAATCGACAATCAACTTCAACGCCAAGCATCCAATCCTAATACCAAAGGATTCACCACTAGCTGGGCTCCTGGTTCGACATTTTCACGTTTCACATCTACACACTGGAGTTGATGCTACGTTCACCAATCTTCGTCAGCAGTACTGGATTCTGGGTGCACGCAATCTGGTCAGAAAGGCAGTTTTCCAATGCAAACGCTGCTTTCTTCAACGCAAAGGCACCAGTAACCAGATCATGGGAGAGCTGCCAATCCCTCGAGTTCAGGCTAGTCGCTGTTTCCAACATACAGGGCTGGATTACGCTGGACCGATCGCCATCAAGGAATCAACAGGACGAACTCCTCGGATCGGAAAGGCATGGTTTTCTATTTTTGTCTGCCTAACTACAAAGGCAATCCATATCGAGGTCGTCAGTGATCTGACTGCAAAGGCCTTCATCGCCGCCTTTCAACGATTTATTGCCCGACGAACAAAGCCCACCGATCTGTACTCGGACAACGGAACCACATTTCATGGCGGAAAGCAAACTTTGGACGACATGCGACGCCTAGTCATCGAACAATCAAAAGATGAGGAACTGGCTGGATTCTTCGCCAACGAAGGCATTTCTTGGCACTTCATACCCCCATCTGCCCCTCATTTTGGCGGAATGTGGGAAGCCGGCGTTCGTTCCATAAAACTTCATATGCGACGGATACTTGGGTCCAAGGCTCTCACGTTTGAGGAACTAGCGACTGTTTTGACCCAAATTGAAGCCATCCTCAACTCTCGCCCACTGTGCCCAAATGGGGATAATTCGTTGGACCCGCTGACTCCCGCTCATTTCCTGACTGGAGCTCCTTATACTGCCCTCTCTGAACCCTGCCGTCTGGATATGCAAATCAATCGACTGGAGAGGTGGAATCAGCTGCAAGCTATGGTCCAAGGTTTCTGGAAACGGTGGCATATGGAATACCTGACATCGCTTCACGAACGCACAAAATGGCATCTAGAAACTGAGAATCTGAAGATCGACACACTGGTGGTACTCAAGGAGCCTAATCTACCTCCCTCTAAATGGATTCTTGGACGCATCAGCGAGGTGCACGCAGGATCAGATGACAAAGTACGGGTCGTAACAGTAAAGACGGCCCATGGATTCTACAAACGCCCAATTACCAAAATTGCTGTCTTGCCTCTGTGCTGAACGACCGTTCAGGGGGGCCGGTATGTTTGGGAACGAGACACCCTGTATTGGGTTTCGCGCTCTTTGTTTTGATCGCCGCTGCCGGCGGCCTTATCAGCGGTCGCTAAGCGAGCAGCGCATCGCTGCACATGCGCGCGAGCTTTTGCCCAGTAATTTTCCATTCATTTCTAACTCCTAACTGTAACTTGTTTACGTCTTCGACTAGCATAATCGAATGACGTGCATAGCCAAAGCTTAGTCAGTCACATTTTTGCTCTCAATGCAATCTAACGCAGCGCGGTCGACAATATTAAATGTAATTGTTCGGAAATAAATAAAATTATATTAAACAGTATACACTAGGGCGGATTCATTTATAAACAGAGTGAGTTCCAGGAAAGGGACAGCGGATGGACTCTAACCCGCATAATTAGAGTCGAGTTAAATATGTTAAAATGTGACCCATTGAAAGGAAGCGGACCCTTTAAACTACCACAAAAACTTTAACACAAAAATGCTGTGATTAACGTCCAAAACAAAAACGAATATTGCTTTAAGTGGGCAATATTATCCAGCTTTTCGAAAAGCAAAAAGCCACAAAGATGTTCAACATATAAAGTGAACATTTCATCAAGCGTGATTTATGTAGGTCCATCCACGAAATTAGATTTCACTGGCTTAAATTTCCCAATGGAAATACGTGAAGTTGCCAAAACAAAATTTTTCGTTTAAAAAGTGAATAAGTGTATGTAAAATAGGTTTTAACAAAAAACCAAAAATTCAAAAAGTGAAATTTGTTTGCATAAAAACAAACATTGACAAAAATATAAAACATTAAAAACAAAATACAAAAAATTTATTAACATTATCAACAACAAAAGCAAAAAGTTAAAAAAAAATAAAAACAATAACAAAAAACCAAAAATTCAAAAAGTGAAATTTGTTTACATAAAAACAAACATTGACAAAAATATAAAACATTAAAAACAAAATACAAAAAATTTATTAACATTATCAACAACAAAAGCAAAAAGTTAAAAAAAATTAAAAACAAAAGAAAAAACAATAACAAAAAACATTCAAAAAAAAAAAATATATATATATATATATATATATATACATATATATAGTCAACGTGAACAACAAAAACATTATCATCAACAAAGTGCATATCATCACCATAAACACCTATATTGCCTTCAACGAAATCAACAAAAACATCATCATGAACAACTACAACAATTACAACAACTACAACCAGTTCAGCAACTACAACAATATGAATGGCATTTACTGCCAATCCTGCCAGATGGTTCTGGCTGTGGGTGTGCAATGGCATCATCATGTCCGCACAGAATCCCACAAGTTTTATGCAACGCGACCTGTAGATGGGAGCGTTAAACAAATTTTGGATGGATTCAAGGGTCGAATCCTTCAATACATGTATGTTAATGAGGGAGTTCCTGTTAGAAATCCCAGCGAATTTTTAAATGAGGCGAGTCTAGCGCTGATCCCTCATATTGAGAGAGTGTTAACCTCTCACATTTCATCGAAAATAAATTTCGAGTTGTTTGCTGAGTATATGCTTGTAAAGGAGCATGTAACTCAAGTGGAGATAAAGTCATTCCAAAGTAAAATGACAATGGTTTCATCAGCCTCCAATTTGATGATGCTGTTCAATTTCCACAAAGATGAAATTGAAACAAAAACAAGAAAGCTAACTTCGGCACGCCGAACCCATATTTAACTCGACTCTAATTATGCGGGTTAGAGTCCATCCGCTGTCCCTTTCCTGGAACTCACTCATTATACCCTTGCAGGGTATTATAATTTCAGTCAGAAGTTTGCGACGCAGTGAAGGAGACGTTTCCGACCCTATAAAGTATATATATTCTTGATCAGCATCAACAGCCGAGTCGATCTAGCCATGTCCGTCTGTCCGTCCGTCTGTCCGTCTGTCCGTTTCTACGCAAACTAGTCCCTCAGTTTTAAAGCTATCTGAATGAAACTTTGCATATAGTCTTCTATATACTCTCACTGCTATATATGTCGGAACGGGCCGGATCGGACGACTATATCATATAGCTCCCATACAAATGTTCGATAAATTTTTAGAAAAAAATTATAACTTGGCTGTTTTTCAATGAATCATTTTTGAGACATAGCCATTTTATATTATTTCAGAATTTTGGTAAAAATTTTATGAAAATCGGACGACTATATCTTATAGCTGCCATAGGAACGATCGGCAAATGAATAGGAAAAAAATTATAACTTCGTTGATTTTCAACATATTCTTATCTACTTTTAGATATAAGCTTATTTTATTATTCTAGAATTTTTGTATAAATTTTATGAAAATCGGACAACTATATCATATAGCTGCCATATAAACGATCGGTAAATGTAGAGAAAATGTAAAGCTGGGAATGTAAAACTGTAACTGTCAAAATGTAAACATAATAAGTATAGGTAAAATGTAATAAAACTCTGTTTTGTGTGTGTTTTTCAGCATTTAAATCTATAATATAAACATCAAAACCAATCTGCAAGGGTATACAAACTTCGGGGTGCCGAAGTTAGCTTCCTTTCTTGTTTTACTTGAGTTGTATTTTCTTCAAAATGTTTATTTTTCAGTTTTTCATTGGGTTTTATTTTTATTTAAATCAAGTTGTATTTTTCCAAAATCTCTCTCTTTTAGTTTTCGTTTTGGTTTTATTTGAATAATAAAGTTTGCAGGGAATTTTAACAAAAAAAATATGGTTAGATGTCGGGGCATTATTTCTAGCCTACTCTAGCGAAAACCGCATCCTGGCCATCGAGAAATTTCTATTTACACCGGTACCCGCTGGCCAAAATGCGATCCTCCTATACACTCACCCGTCTCCGTTTTTCCGCACACACACACGTGCCTGCCGGTGGCTGCTGCTTCCGCCACGTCCTCGCCGTCCGCTTCCAAAAGAATTTGCCTCCTTGGCCGTCGAGAAAAATCAAACTCCGCTGCACGTCACTGGCTGCCTCACGATCGTTGGGGCACTCGGTATAAATTGTCACTGTCAATAGGCACTTTTTCCGCACTCGTTGGTCGCAAGAAAAAAATATAACTCCGTCGCTTGAAAAAAACACTCCCGTTTTGGCTTCGCTGTGAAAAGAACTCCGTCGTCCGCTCGCACGTCTCTTCGATTTCGTCGCCTCCGCAAAAGTAAAAAAACCACGCGGCTTTGCCAAATTTTCGGCCGCGCCGGTAACTTTCCGTTGCTCATTGCATTGCGGTGCATCAGCTTCCCTCTCGCTCTCTCCTGTTGGCGCGTGCCAATTTTCGGGGGTTGCTTTGCGCTCGATCGTATGCTCGCTCTCTGTTGCTCCCATACGGCGCTAACTCCGTGGCCACTTATTCGTGGTGAATAGCTCTCTCTGCTCTCCGCGTGTAGATGTGTGTGTGTGTGTGTGTGTGGCGGGGTCTAGAGATGTGAGAACGGGGAACCAAAGATAACTACAAACTCTTTTCTATGCTTAACTTTTGTACAGCTTATAAACGACTATATTATTATATTAAAATATACGTTGCCCATTTTATAAAGAATGTATACGAAAATGATTATATCTACAATGAATTATTTATACAAAGCTTAAGGTTACAAAAGGAGAAGTGAATAAAGTATTTTACAAGAAAATATTTAAATATTGACAAAGAGAATAATCGGGCGTTTGCCGGTTTGTTTTTGTTGTTTTCGCTGCTCGCTGCGGCGGCTCTCCATGAGCGTTGGCGGCGGTTGTTTTGCCGTCGGCTGCTGTTGTTGTTGCTGCCGGCTCCTGATCGCCGTTGTTGTTGGCTTGGTGAGCTGTTGATACGCGCTGCCGCTGTTGATGACGTAGCTGCGGTTGTTTTTGCTGTCGGCTACGGGCGCGAAGTATTGTTTTCGCTGGTCGCGCTGGCCGTTGCCATTGCCGCTGCTGTTGGCCGCTGTTCTGGCCGTTTTGTTGTGGCCGGCGTTGATGACGTCGACGGCCGGTGTTGTGGCCGTTTTGTCGATGACGTCGACGTTGGTGACGTGGCGGCCGTCGTTGTTGTTGACGGCGAGAGCGCGCTGTTGTTGTGGCCGCTGCTCGGGCCGGTGTTGAGGCCGCTGGCCGCTGTTTTCTGACGTCGCTGTTGATGACGTGGCCGTTGTTCTGGCTGATGTTGTTGCCGTCGGCTGCTGGCGCGGGTGGCCGGTGTTAAGGCTGATGTTGGTGCCGCCGCCAGTATTGGTGGGGAGTCAGACGACTCCTCACAAGGTCCATCCACGAAATTAGATTTCACTGGCTTAAATTTCCCAATGGAAATACGTGAAGTTGCCAAGTTCACTGCTCAAAACCCACACATTAGTATAAATGTGTTTGGGTATGATGAAAAAGTGGGTAAAGTGTTTGGACCACTTTTTTCGGATGCTGTCGAAAAGGAATTCCACATCAATTTATTATTTGTGGATGGACCAACTGCAAACATTCCAGGACATTTCGTCTGGATAAAACATATGTCAAGGTAAGTAAAATATAAAAAATTAAAAAAAAAAAAATATATATATATACATTCTAATTTGTATACTAATTAAATTTTATATTTTTATTTATAGACTACTTACATCACAAATTGGGAATCAAAGAATTCAACGTATGTTCTGCAACAGATGTTTAAGCTACTCAACAAGCGATGAGAGGTTTGAAAAGCATCACGAAGTCTGCAGCAAAGTGGTCACCACAGGACCTCATGTGAAAGCCACAACGCTGGAGTTTTCAAATTATCATCGTCAACTGGAGGTCCCTTTTACAGTTTACGCAGACTTTGAGTGTATCCTGGAGCCTGCCTCAATAGCAGTAAGTGAAAAATCACAAATTGTAAATAAGCATATTTCTATTTCATTTTCATATTATATAAAGTGTGCATTTGATTCTAGTTTAGATAAGTCAGTTTTAAAAACAGGTGGAAATGTTAGTCGCACTTTCATTGAAAATTTAACGTCCGATTTGTCCGAGATATA